AGGTATAAACTGGTAATAGTTTCTCTATTATAAAAGTGACAAAAACAGTTACTAGATATAAACTGGTAATAGTTTCTTTAGTATCATAGTGATAAAAACAGTTACAAGGTATAAACTGGTAATAGTTTCTCTATTATAAAAGTGACAAAAACAGTTAAAAGGTATAAACTGGTAATAGTTTCTCTAGTATCATAGTGATAAAAACAGTTACAAGGTATAAACTGGTAATAGTTTTTAACTGTTTTTGTCACTTTTATAATAGAGAAACTATTACCAGTTTATACCTAGTAGCTGTTTTTATCACTATGAGACTAGAGAAACTATTACCAGTTTATACCTTGTAACTGTTTTTATCACTATGATACTAGAGAAAGGTATAAACTGGTAATAGTTTCTCTAGTATCATAGTGATAAAAACAGTTACAAGGTATAAACTGGTAATAGTTTCTCTAGTCTCATAGTGATAAAAACAGTTACAAGGTATAAACTGGTAATAGTTTCTCTAGTATCATAGTGATAAAAACAGTTACAAGGTATAAACTGGTAATAGTTTCTCTAGTAGTGAAGAGTCTTCATAAGGTTCAAACGTTATACCACTGTGGTCTAAACGTAACTTAAAATTAATTTCCTAACAATAAATCATCGTTAAATTTATAAACATTAGAGTAGCTTCTTTCAGGTACAGTTTATGACTTAATATTTTATATCTTGTTTTACAGAAAAACAATGAAAGGAAACATCGGCGTTGCTCTGTTCTACGTGTTATTACTTCTACTACCGACGAACAGTATTGGGAAGAAGCTGGAATAAGATGAAACGAAACTCTTCAGAAAAGTACGTTGATAAGTCACATTAGATACGATAGATGTTTCTCAGGTTAAGAGTACCTTAATAAGACACATTAGATAGGCTGGATGTTTCTCAGGTTAAGAGTACGTTGATAAGTCACATTAGATACGATAGATGTTTCTCAAGTTAAAAGTACGTTGATAAGACACATTAGATACGATACATGTTTCTCAGGTTAAGAGTACGTTGATAAGTCAAATTAGATACGGTAGATGTTTTTCAGGTTAAGAGTACGTCGATAAGTCACATTAGATACGATAGATGTTTATCAGGTAAAGAGTACGTTGATAAGTCACATTAGACACGATAAATGTTTATCAGTAAAGAGTCCGTTGATAAGTCACATTAGATACGATAGATATTTATCAGGTTAAGAGTACGTTGATAAGTCACATTAGATACGGTAGATGTTTCTCAGGTTTAGAGTACCTTGATAAGTCACATTAGATATGCTGGATGTTTCTCAGGTTAAGAGTACCTTGATAAGACACATTAAATATGCTGGATATTTCTCAGGTTATTAGTACGTTGATAAGATACATTAGATATGCTGGATGTTTCTCAGGTTAAAAGTACGTTGATAAGACACATTAGATACAATGGATGTTTCTCAGGTTAAGAGTACCTTGATAAGACACATTAGATATGCTGGATGTTTCTCAGGTTAAGAGTACCTTGGTAAGACACATTAGATATACTGGATGTATCTCAGGTTAAGAGTACCTTGATAAGACACATTAGATGTGCTGGATGTTTCTCAGGTCAAGTGTACCTTGATAAGACACATTAGATACGATGGATGTATCTCAGGTTAAGAGTACCTTGATAAGACACATTAGATGTGCTGGATGTTTCTCAGGTCAAGTGTACCTTGATAAGACACATTAGATACGATGGATGTTTCTCGGGTTAAGAGTTTTGCTCAGACTGTGGTTCTTTTCCACACTTTTATTTTTCAACTTCGTCATTATTAGACTTTGTTTTAATATAAATATTTCAAAAGAAGATTTTTCTTCTTTGTATAAGAATGTTTATGATTTTCCTTGATATTTCTAGAAACGAAGCCCGTTCCTTCCACTTTTATTACCCGGAATGACCGCTGGCTCCCTTGCTTGGCCAGCTTTCGCTGCTCTGGTTGGTTCCGTTGCTGTTATGGCTGCAGAAAGAATAAGGCCCTTTGCTGATTTTTCGTCTTGGAGAATACGTGGTATCCTTTCCCTCCGTCATGCCGGCAGTCTAATAAAATAGACTATTTTTGAGTAAGAATAGTTTACACGTTTCAAGGGAAATTATTTTCAGTAAAATATTAAAAGGCCACTTTAAATTTCTATGTTTAAAGATCAGACTGTTCGTTGTTGTTGGTAGAAATACGTCTTTTCCATTACACCAGATGTTGAGTACGTTATACTAAAATGATTTTTTAATCTTGACAGTGTTTTTTCCATTGCAAAAACGTTGTCATGTTTAAAACACATCACTCCTCCCTGTAATATTTCCACAAGCAACACAGTGTGCGAAGATGACGAATCCCAAGTCTCCGTTTTAACAATCCGATCGCAGAGAAATCCATAGATGCTGCGATCGATGATTTGACTGGTATGTCTTTTTACCGAGAATACCCGTTCCAGCTGCTTGAGGTATGCGGCGTTTGAACGAATATGTTGAAGAAGGTATTTGAGTACACGTGACTTCCGTCACTTTTCCAGATAGAGATTTTTCTTATTTATGTTGCATACTGTTGACTAGGGAAAGTAGACAACTTTTGCCACTGACCTTCGTATTCATTAATTCTCTTCATTTCCAAAACGCTAGGGTACGTAGTGAAGGTTTCTTTGTGAATGGTCCTGGTGGCCAATGGCATTAAAATCTCCATTTTGGAAATTCTAAATTCCCGATCTGAACATAATGAGCATGTTGATAATTTTTGAAAAAAAAAAAGGTTCACAAAGGTTATTACATATCCTTCTTAAAAGTTTTGACATACCCTTCATAAAAGTTGTGACATATCCTTCATAAAAGTTATGACATATCCTTCATAAAAGTTGTGACATACCCTTCATAAAAGTTGTGACATATTCTTCATTAAAGCGAACAATTTTGGGTCGCATCACGCTACGTATAAAAACAAACAAATAATACCAATATGTAGTTCTGATACATCCCCTTCCATTGCAACTTTATATCGGCTGTGATTCTCAAGTGACTTTCTGATTTGCATATTCTGAATTGTTTCAATATAACCCACTCAACCCTGGATTAGTAGAGAATGTAAGAGTTTTGTTGTTACTTAACCCTGATTGAAAGGTCAACTATCAGCACGTTTATTCAATACAAAACTTAACTATAAACCAAAATATAAAACATTTTAATCTTAGTTTCTAGGTAGCATATGTCGAATAAAACTTTAATTTATAAAAGATCGACAGAGTCATTCCTGTGCTGGCAACAGAGGTTGGTGTAGATCAAGTTGTTTCAGTCATGAAAAAATTGACTTTTTCCACAGTGCTGTATGTGGTGGCTATGTTTGCTGTAGACCCAAGTAGATAGGTAAGTTTATACTAATTTCAATTTGTCTGTTAAGAACTTAATTTTTTTATATACAGACAAATATCCTGACCGAAAGAGTCGCAAATTATATTGTAGATAATAATCAGAATAACTTTACTGTAGACCCAAGTAGATAGGTAAGTTTATTTCACTTTTTGATTATTTCGTTCTGATTTTCTCTTTTATCTTTGGTATTTCATGCCTGTCACTAAAGGTTCTACATTTTGAAATCGGCTGCTGTTTAATTTGTAGCACAATCAAGAGATGGCAATAAAGTATTTAAATAATAACCATTACGTCGTCAAGAAATTAATGTCACGTTTTGGAACTCTTTCATTAACCACTCCCAAAAACGTATAATAGTTAAACGAACCACCTAAACGTCACGTTAGTGTAGCCTATATAATGTGTAAAGTTTAGTATACTTTAATCCTTTATAGTGATGGTACAAGACGAGACACACATTCGGCATGTAATGCTGTTTGAATACAAGAAGGGAAACAACGCCTCTGTAGTCACAAATAATATCAAAGAAGTGTATGGAAATGTTTTGAACGTTCGTAAGTGTCAATGATGGTTCAGCAAATTTCGTTCAAGTGACTTTAGCCTTAAAACTGTGATGGCAGAGGCCAACATGATATTGGTGCTCTGAAGAGTTTAACCCAAAGCAACACACTCTTAAAATGGCCCCGAAATTGCATGGCTCTCATGAAACAATACGTAAACATCTAAGGAATATGGAAAAACTCCAAAAAAAGGTATTTGGGTGCCTCACGAACTCTCCGATGATCATCGTTTCCAACATGTGAATGCTGCTTCGTCTCTTCTGGCGAGTAATACGCGTAAACTATTTTTTGACAGAACTGTCACCAGTGATGAAAAATGGATTCTCTATGCGAATATTAAACGGCATAAACAATGGTTTAGTCCTAGACAAAAAACCACTTCCGACCCCAAAACCTGGACTCCATCCGCTTTGCATTTGGTGGGACATCAAAGATGTAATTCATTTCGAACTCTTCAATCCACAGCAAACTGTCAATGCAGAGATCTATAGTGGGCAACTGGAACGTTTAAATCAAGCCCTTCACCATAAACACCCTTCACTCGTCAGTCGGAAATGTGTTCTTCTTCTCTACGACAATGCACGTCCACATGTGTCATGTTTGACGCAACACAAGATTATGGAATTGGGTTGGGAAGTTCTCCCCCACCCACCATATTCTCCAGATATGGCAACATCAGGTTACCATCTTTTTCGTCACTGCAACACCATCTTAATGGGAAAACGTATGTAAATATGGAAGGTATTAATGAGAACATCGACATGTTTTTACGCTATAAAGCCAAGTGATTTCTTTAATACAGTA